CTATACTCCTCCTTCATGGTCATGTTTTTGAATTCAGTCCTTACCTTCAGTAGTTTTTTCCAGTAAAAGCAAGTGTCCCCTGTTCTTTCATATTGCCAGATTGAACCCTTCTTGATATACCTGTGATGCATCCATCTTACCCACAAAATATCCTTTTTGTTGGCTATATCCCATATCAGTTGCATTGTACACGCTTTGTTCCAGTGGATTAGGTTTATAAGACCTAATCCCCCATTTCTCTTTGGTTGGCAGACTTCATCCCACGCAACAAGAGGGCATTTCCTATACATAGGTGAAGCTCCCCATAGGAAATTCCTGCATACTTCATGTATCTTTTTCATAACCTTATTTGGTATGATAAACATTCTAGCCCAGAACGCTACTATCCCAAATAAGACTGAGTTGATCAGCTTTATCCTACCTGCATAGGACATGTGTTTTGTCATCCAGGAGTTTATTTTAGTTGTTAGCTTCTCAACCAATCTTTCACTCTCTTTGGCCTATCCTTGCAGCAGTGATTGGACATCCTAGGTATCTGAAAGGAAATTCTCCTTTAACCATTTTGGTTATTTGCAGATATCTGTTCTCATTCACTAAACTAACTCCTCCCATCACTATCTGTGATTTCTCATAGTTTATGCCTAGACCTGTCACTTCTTTAAAATGTTCCAAAGCTCGTAGCACTGCTGATATAGACTCTTCCTCGGCTTTACACACAACAATCAGGTCATCAGCAAACACCAAGTTAATCAGATTCAATTACTTACACATGGGATGGTGTGAAACGTTTTTGGTCTGCATTATATTGAAATGTCCTTGTGAGATACTCCATAATAATCACAAATAGCAATGGGGACATGGGATCTCCTTGTCTCAGTCCTCTCCCACCCTTAAAATATCCATTTATCTCACCATCAAGTTGAATTGAGAATGCAGTATTTGAAATGCAGAATCTAATCCATTCAACAAATTTAGGAGGAAATTTTAGGGCTTCCAAGATTTGGGTCATGGCCTTCCAGCTTACTGAGTCGTAAGCTTTCCTAATGTCAAGCTTCATCATACACCTTGGAGACACCCCTTTCCTTTTGTAACCTCTAGCCAGTTCTTGGCAAACCAGCACTTTATGCACTAAGTCCCTCCCTGGTATGAAAGCTCCCTGGTTTTGGTCAATTATATACGCCAGAACATCTTTTAACCTACTGCATATAATTTTTGATATAACCTTGTAAATTACATTACAGCAGGAAATCGGCCTAAAATCTGAAGGATATTTAGGGCAATCAACTTTTGGTATAAGGGTGATAATAGTTGCATTCACCTCTTTAAGCGTAGTACCTGTCTGAAAGAATTCCATAACTGCTTTTGTGACCAAACCTCCCACCACATTCCATTGGTGTTTATAAAATCCACTGCTAAACCCATCCGG